GTACTGTAACCTGGCTTGGTCTGGGCTGCTCCCAGCCTTGATTCTTGCACTCTCCTGCAGGGACTGCATCCTGACAGAGAAGTTCCCAAGTTCCTCCATCAGATTCTTTCCCAATGCCAGATCTCATGCACACTGGTGGTTCCATGGCCCAACTCGACTTAGTCCGCTTCCTGTCCTAACAGGAACAGTGAACTTTCCTGACCGGCCCACACCCAGTTTCATTTTCTTATTGTTGATTGCTACAGCCCAGGCAAACTCGGTCCACACCCAGACACAGCTCATACATGGCTCAGCAGGGGCAGAGACCTAGCCCAGCCTATCCTACACCCACCCTGGTTCCCATGAGCCCCAGTGGGTGCTAGAGTCTAGCCCAGTTTGGCACACCCCAGACCCAGTACACACCTGTGCCAAGCGATACTGCAGCCATGTCCAGACCATACTGCCACCCCCATTCCAGCCCTTATGCTCACCAGTGGGAACCACAACCCAGCCAGCGAGTCCCCTTAGCTCCCCAAAGGCCAGAATCCCCTTAGCTCCCAACCAGGCCAGTTCCCTGCCACAGATCTTGCGCATGCTAGTGGTTGCTCTGACCCAACTAGGCAGTCTTTCACCTGTCTTGACCTTTGCCTTTGGATGCTGACTTGGCTGACTTGGTTGGACCCCAGTCCCAACTCTTGCTACAACCTGACCCTGCTCAGTCTGCTTTCATTCCTGGCTCATGCAAACCAGTAAGTGCGATAGTCTAGCCCAGCATAACCTGTACTCTAGCCTTGTTTCTGCACTGCCATGAGCTAAGGTTTGCCTAGCCCTGCCCAGTCTGCCCCCTTCCAAAATTACCCCACACGTTTGTCAATGGGTAGAGCTACCTTGCCCAATCTGTCCAACACCCAGGTCTGAGCTGCATGCTCACTAGCAGGAGCTGTGGCCCTCCAGGGCAGTTTCCCAAGTTCCCCCACCAGACCCATTCCCAGACATAGATCTTACACATGCCTGTGGGTGCTAGGCCCTTACCTAGCATAGCCTGCCCCCTCCATCCCTGCTGGTGGATGTTGTGGCCCAGCTCACCCCACACCCTGTTTGAGGGTGCCCATGTGGGTGCTGTAACCTGGACCTGCCCAGCCTGTTCTCAGGCCCAGTACCTGTGAGTGTCAGTAGGTTCCATGATCATTCCCGGTTCAACCCATCACCACCCCAACTCTTAAGCTTACCAGAGGGACTTGTAATTCCACAGGGTTAAGCCCACATGTCCCCCCAGAGAATCTACTCCTGGTCCTGGTTCTCTTGCTTGCTGGTTAGTGTCATGGCCCAGCCTGGCATTACCCATCCCCTATTCCCACATTCATGGTCAGGTACTGTGATCTAGTCCTACCAGAGAGGTCCCCAGCCCTAGCTTTCACGTGGGCTGGCACATGGTGGTTAGCAATGTTCCATGCTAGCAAACCTAGCTCAGATCTCCCACATGGGTTGGTGAATCAGTCTGACCCATAAAGATCTTCTGACCTCTTCCCTCCAAACCACCAGGTCTCAGCTCCCTTGCTTACCTGCAAGTATAGTGGCCTTGTCATTGGGAGTCCCTCAGGAGTCATTCCTTACCTGGCAACATACACCCATGGCTGTCCTCCCTACCTCATATCCCCTTCCTCCTTTCCCTAATCAATCCACAATCTTTGTGCCCCAGAGTACGTGGTTTCTTCAGCCTACCCTTCGGAAGCTCAGAGGATGGTGTACTGGCCTACAGCTCTATTTACCTACCAGAGTCCCAAGCTCCTGGTACATGTGCTGGCTTGGTGCTTTACCCTTCCACACACCCAACATCCAGGCCCATTGAAGTTCTCGGCCTGGTCCACCAACTCACAGGGCAGTGTGCTGACCTGGGGCTCTTCCCTCCCCTTCTCTCACGTTGCCCAAGACCAAGCACATGGAGAAATTCCCAGGTTTGCTTCACCTGCCTAGACTTGAGCTCCCAGGTCCCCATATACCCCACCGGCACTATGCCCTTAGCCCTGCCCCCTACCAAACCTGCATCCCGAGGCCCCCATGTGCCACCACCATCCCTTGGCCGGTTCATGCAGAAATGGTAGTGAACGGCCCCACCTCCCACCCTGGCCATCTTCTTCTAGTAACTTTAGAAATCACATTCTGAGTCTCTATACTTTAATATATGACACTTCTGATACTAGATGTCCAAGCTTTCCCCACATCAAGCAATCTTCCACTCTCTAAACACAAGAAAGGTGGCCTATGATTTAGGTCAATTCTGTCTACCAAGACTTAGCATCAGAGCCAACACGTTGAGAGCTCCATCCCACAAGACTGACCCTACATCAGATGCCAATTACGAGTCTCCAGTAGTCTTGACTACTCATCTATTCTTTAGGATCCCCCATGAACTCCAGTAGGTGTTACAGTTTGTTGTAGAAGCTCAGAGATCTCAGAGGAATACATCTTTTCAGCAGTTTATTTTGATGGATATAACTCATGATCAGCCTATCAATCCCAATATAAAAACTTGGGGACAGGCCATATAAAACAACAAATTTTGTAATTTTTATTCATTTTGATTTAATTTGGAAGGCAGCAAGGGAGGAGAGAGGGAAAGAGAGATCTTCCATCTGTTGATTCACTGTCAAATGCTCATGATGACTGTGAGTGGGTTAGGCTGAAGCCAGGATCTCAATCAGGTCCCCCATTTTGGTGGCAGTGAGCCAAGTACCTGAGCCACTATCTGATGCCCTCTAGGATGCGCATTAATAAGAAATAGGAACCAGAAACAGAGTCTGATCTTTAATGCAACCACTTGGATACAGGGTGAAGGTGTCCCATGGGTCATTTTTGACCCTAGATTCCAATGCCTTGGGCAGAACAAAGGATTTTATTTGAGAATAGCAAAGGGCTGCACCTGAGGCTGTAGACTCACACCCAAGGAAATCAAGAAGAAATTCAGATAAACTGCTTCAAAATAAAACTCATGGACCTCAAGGACTGATTGCAGACATTGACACTTTCATTGGCAGAGACAACAACTGCTGGCCAATGCTGGGGCCAGAGACTATTTCTGAGAGAGGTGGTCACAGGTACCAAGTAAACGTTCAGGCATTTTGGAAATGCACATGTGAGAGCTTTCTTGTGCTCTGGGTCATCATTGTGTTTAGGATGCTGCTATGTGGCTCTATCTGGCATTGTTAATTTTTCACATCCCTCCCTTTGATAAAATTATTTCTCTATATGCATTACTGCTCAACCATCCCCTCAGGTTTGATTATCCCTTTGCACTAGGAAGGACATGCTCCAACTGGTCTGATCTCGTATTAAAAGGAAAATGTTTACCACCAAGCAATCAATACAAACAAAAAACAAAACAAACAAACAAAAAAAGCAAAAACTTTCAATAACATCTGAGCATTGCAGAGGGCCCAAAAGAAAGCTATCAAGTTAAGTCTTGAAGGAGCTCATTGTCAAATTCCATTTTTTCTTTCCTGAGGCTTTAGCTATTGTCTCAAGGTGCTGGAGCAATATCTTCCTGTTAGGAGTCATATTTCTGTAGAAGCATGGCAAGCAATGTGTACAAAGATTCAAAGCAATAATGCAGACGAAGAAGAACAACAATATTATCAACTCAATTTGTCCCCAGTGTGGGCAACTGCCTAGGTTGCATTGTACCTAGGTAAGTGTTATCACTGCTGGGAGAAAGGCAACTAATAGCTGTTGAGCAATCTTGGCCTGGTTAATGCTAAATCTGTGTTAACTATACCAGTGTGCCATCTGAGTTACCTATTCTTTTTTTCTTTTTCTTAAAGATATGTGGGGTACAGATGCCAGCATGCCAGCATGCCAGCAGACAGGGTCTGGGGACTCACACCCAAGTGTGAGTGGGTCTGGGCAGATAGGCAGGGCCCCAGGGTGGCACAACATACTGCTGGAGGACTGGGTTTGGGGATCTGCATGCTCACACGTATGAGGGATTGTGGGTGTGTGGGAGGGGGGACTGCTGAAGGAGAGCGGGACAGGTGAGGAGTGACTTCTTGGAGATTTCCACCAACCAGTCTACTGCACTTGCAGATACATGACGGGGCTGAGATCAGGTGATTTGGAGGAGGGAAACTGGAGGATCTTTCAGGGCCAAATCAATATACCTGCCCATGTGGGAGACCTGAGCTGGGCTTGTTAGTATCAGCTACCATCTACTGGCACACAAGAAAATCATGGCTGGGGTGCCTGCCTGGCAGGGCTCAAATGCAGTACCTGCCAATGAGTGTCTGGGTACAGGGTGGACCATGTTAAACTGGGCCATAATACTAAGCAGTATGAAAGAGACCTAGGTCTGGAAGCAGATTCTGTGGCTGATTTGTGAGCTCACCCCATAGGACTGCCATACCAGCTAGTTTGCTCAAGAGCTGTGAGTGGTAATGGGCTGAGCTAGCATGACCTTGGAACTCACCAACACTCATGGATGCTGGGGTAGGGAACAGGCCTGACTGGTACAGGCTGTAGCACCTGCAAGCACACTTAGAATTGAATGTGGGGGTAGGCTGGACCACAACATCCACCAGCACACATAAAGGCCGAGACTGGGGCGGGATGGGAGAGAGGGGAGGGCAGACTGTGCCAGGTAACATGGCCTAGCAACCGCTGGCATGCATGAGATCTGGGTCTGGAAGTTGGACTGGTGGGGAAACTTGTGGAACTTTGACAAATGCAATCTTCTACAACTGGTTTGAAGAAAATATGACCATGTTTTGAAAAACATGAAAATCTATATGGCTTGGCAATTATACATCTAGATGTATTCAAGTGGCAATTTTCCAGTTAAACACACCCAGATATATACAAAAAATATTTATTGCACTTTCAAAAGGCAATCAAAATAAGACTGATTAATGAACATTGATATGTTAATACAAGAAGGGATATAATAAATCACCAACAATTAAAAATGAAATATACATTTTAATAGTGAGAGGTCTTACAAACACAATTGAGAGAAAAAAACAAGTTGCAGGAAAAATTGCAGCACAGAATCGTGTTTACGCAAATATATTTTAAAATTACACCCAAGAACATTGCGTTCTATTTCAAAAACAGGACTGGATCCTCTTCACATGAGTGATTTCATCTATGAAGAATTAGGAGGAACAAGATGAACTCCAGCGGTTTTTATATTTTCTTTATTTCAATACATTAATCAAAAGAAAAATAGTAATTTTTTATTCTGAGTGCTACGTAGTTCTTTGTATTATTCACATTGATTAAATTTTGAAAAATAGCTAATCACATTAAAAACAAATGAACCCAGGAAGAAGGCCAAAGGAAAGATTTGATCTCTGTCTCCTCCAATCTGTTTCTTGTTGATGAGCACCCTAGAAGGGAGTGGATGGCGGCTCTGAGCTCTTTGCTTTCGCCTGCTGCGCCGCAGTTGGTATATGCACTTAAGTAGCAAACCAGAAGATCTCTCTTTCTGCCTTTAAAAGAAATTAAATAGATAAAAGTAGTTTTAAAGTAGAAAGAAAGAAGATCTTGGTTACCCCAGGCACCAATGTCAGAATCTGTGTGTCAAAAATATCATCTGTGGGTCCAGTGCAATAGCCTAGTGGTTAAAGTCCTTGCTTTGCAAGTGCCTGTTTCCCATATGGGTGGTGGTTCACATCCCAGCTGCTCCATTTCCTATCCGGTTCCCTGTTTGTGGCTTGGGAATGCAGTAGAAGGCAGCCCAAAGCCTGGGAACCCTGAACCCACGTGGGAGACCACAAGAGTTCCTGGCTTCCAACTTCGGATCGACTCAGCTCCAGCCAATGCGGCCACTTGGGGAATGAACCAGTGGATGGAAGATCTTTCTCTCTGTTTCTCCTTCTCTCTATAAATCTGTCTTTCCAATAAAAATAAATATTTCTTAAAGAAAACAAACAAACAAAAAGGTCCTGGCGACGTGGCCTAGCGGCTTAAGTCCTCGCCCTGAACACACCAGGATCCCATATAGGCACCGGTTCTAATCCTGGCAGCTCCACTTCCCATCCAGCTCCTTGCCTGTGGCCTGGGAAAGCAGTCAAGGATGGCCCAAGTCCTTCGGAGACCTGGAGGAGGTTCCTGGCTCCTGGCTTTGGATCGGTGCAGCACCGGCCATTGCGGTCACTTGGGGAGTGAATCATTGGACGGAACATCTTCCTCTCTATCTCTCCTCTCTGTATATCTGACTTTCCAATAAAAATGAATAAATCTTCCAAAAAAAAAAAAAGCAGAAACAAAACAAAAAAGACTATTTTCTGTCTCTCATGTCAGAAACCTGATGTCTTCTTCCCTCCTGAGACAGTTATTCTCCATCTAGCTGACCACTTGATTCACTACCCTACTCCTCCCGGCCACCAGCTTTCTCCTTTCACTAGGCTTCTGTGCTGGAGCTTCTGCTAACAACAGAAGCAATGGGTAGTCCTGGGTTCAGTTAGTTTTGTCTGTCTTCCGTCTCCCAAGTCTGCCAGAGCAGCCTCTGTACACAGAAGCGAGACCCAGTAAAGAGGGCTCCGGGCTGTGGGGATGGTCTTTGCCTTTCACACCTGTTCTTAGAAATAGTCAGTGTCCTGTGTATAGTGGAAGAATAAACACACTCCATTAAAGAGGGGAAATAAAAACTCAGTTTTTGAGGAACTGATCCCTTCCTGACAAGGACTAAGCACTTTACTTTGATCTGAAACTTCAGTTCTCTGAAACTCCATGGTTTCAGTTCCGGAAGAGAAAATAGGCCTTAGAGATCAGATATATATCTACCACATAGCAGGTAATGCTGGAATTCCAACAAAAGATCTGAATGTACTATTGCCTTATACATACACTTACTGGATCAGATATGCATTACTCAGATTCAGAACTTCGTGATCGGATGAACAAGATAGGAATATAGGCAAGTATGTTACCTATTAAAGTCTTGTGGAAGAACAAAAGATCCAGAATAGCCAACAAAATGATGAAAAGGAGCAAAGTCAGAAAACTGACACTGCCGAAGCTGAAAGTTTGCCGTAACATGTAGAAATTAAGACAGTATGATATTGATGAAGCAACAGACAAACCAATGAAACAGAACAGAAAGCCTATGAACCCATGGAAATATAGTAAACAGCTGCACGAAAAAGAAGCAAAGGTGATACGACAAAAACAAAAACAAAAACACTATCTTTTCAACCAGTTGTGATAGAACAATTTGACATATGTAGAAAAAGGCCACAGAGAGACTCTTAATGAATTCAGATCTTGTATATTTTACTGAAATATAGATTTATTTAAATTTATTTTCTGTTGGAAAGTCAGATTTACAGAAAGAGCCCATCTGAAGCCAGGAGCCAGGAACTTTTCCAGGTCTCCCACATGAGTGCAGGGTCCCAAGGCTTTGGGCCGTCCTCTACTGCTTTCCCGGGCCACAAGCAGGGAGCTGGATGGGAAGTGAAGCAGCCAGGTCATGAACCAGCACCCATATGGGATCCCAGTGGATGCAAAGTGAGGACTTTAGCCACTAGGTTATCACACTAGGTCCCTGAAACATATATCTTATACCTCCTACAGAGAAGAACTCAAAATGGATAACGGTCTTAAACTGAAATGGGAAACTATAGAAATTCTAGAAGAGATATTCAAATTATCTTTGATTTCAGTAAAGTTTTAGAAATAACACCAAAACTGTAATACATGAAAATAAGAAATGGGTAAATAAAACTTCATTAAAATGAGAGTTTTCTGCTTTGCAACAGGAAATTGAGACGGTAAATGTGAGACTGGAATTAAGTATTTCCTAAAGGTAAGTCTCTGACAAAGTGCTATTTTCCAAAAATACAGGAAGAACTCTTAAAAACCCACAATAAGAAAACAAACAACCCAAATGAAAAAAAAAATAGACAAATTGTCTGTATGGAGAGTTCATTAAAAGAGACATGAGGATATTATAGAACTAAATGAAAAGATGTTTGACATCATATTATTCAACATTTCCTCTACCATTTTACGTTCCAACGTTGAGCAGATAGAGTAATTGAATGAACTGAAAGCAGATCAATAAGCAGGAGCAAAAACAAGGTGTATTTTCACATGGATGTGAATAACATGCTGAGGACCTAGAGATGCAATACAAACCAAATAAAAATTTCTGGCTTTTTTTTTTTCCAGGTTTCAGTGGGAATATGTGGAAGAATGTATTAGGTATTCACTGCCAATGTGATTGGGCAGTCTTTCTTCTTCCTAGCTAGAAGCTTTCCCCCACGGCAGCAGAGAAGGATGGGGGCTGAATTCACCAAGGTCAGTGTTATGGTCAGTCTTTCAAACAGGAAAATCCACTGGAGTGGGTTTAATGGCAGCCGGATATTCAGGACTATTGGTTGAAGTATAGGTGGTGTGTGTGTGCAACTGCTACCATCTACACAGACGTTTTCAGCTAAAAGTAAGTCTCATGTCACTTTGTTAGTCTCAATCTCTTCAACTTATTATTTGAAAATTGTAAACTAAGATACTACCACATACCTGTATTAGAATGGATAAAATAATAATAATAATAACTGACAACACCTAATGCTGATGAGGAATGTGAATTCATTGCTGGTAGGATCTTTCCAAAGGCATAGATAGGGTGGCATATTTTGGTCTGCTACAGTCATATGTTAGGATGGCACATTGCAGTCTCCTATAGGAGGAGAGAGTCTAGTTAGTCTAGCTTGGGACTCATCAAGACAGTATGTGACAAGTCCCACCAGGAAGTGAACTGCAAATAAGATATAAGCAAAGAAACTGTCCAAAACAGCCAGATCTAAGATGATACCAAATGTAGCTTCAGTCTGACCTAAAACCAGATTGGGCCTTCACTGTAATACATTAATGTGGTAAAAATCATTCCCCCTGCATCATGACAGTTTACAATTGCTATGACAACATGATCATCTACAAAAAATAATCATTTGAGGAGAATCACTTAAGGGGAAACACCTACTTGGAATCAGGGAACCACCTCTTTTCCAGAAAGAATATCCTGCCCAGATATTAGCATATATTCATCAAATCCCACGAATAGAGACCAAAACAACAGCAGCGCCTGCTCTGTCTGCAGGAGAGCCTGTTCTTGGCTGTTTACTTTAATAAGGCCCTGTTGCTTCCACCACTTAGCTGATTCCTGGCTGGATTGCAATTCCCCTCGGAAACCAGGGACCCTCCTGGGATGGCTGCGGCCTAGGCCAGAGTTCCCAGCTGTCTAGAATTATCATGACCAATACTTAGCATAGGAAAGGAGGCTTGGAACGTGGATGAACTCAGTAACACTGTGCCCAAGGATGGAAGGACAATGCCACCAGGAAAATGAAAGTGTAACTACTTAAATAAGTGCAGACATAACACAAAGCTGTTACCCCGTTTGCTTAGGGCCGTTTTCCTTCTGTGCTGTTCTGATAGGAAAAGCCACTCAACTTGTAATAAAAGTAACTTGTGGAGTTGCCTCAAGTGAGGTAGCAGTGAAAGGCTACTGACTGCAGGCAACAGATAAGCAAATGCCACCCTCAAATAAGCTTCTTTGACATGAAGATGACTTTCCACTAACTCCTTTGAGAAAAAAACAAACACCAGAGAAGTGAAAGTAGAATATAAGAAGTATGTTTGTAAAGGAAATTTTCATTTTAGAGACACTTCGTTTTCCTTCTCTGTACCAGAAAGAAAAGGACTGCTATAAATCATGAGACTATGACCCCTGGAAAAGGAGCTGATTTTAATCTAAATCCCAAATCTTTCTGTGATTATACATACTTTTCCAGGTCATCTCCTTATAACTTGTTCTTTTGGTTTACTGAAGATAAAGTTATAAGGACCCAGAGAATTTCCTCATCACTCTCCAAAGGTGGAAAATTTGAATAAATTAACACAGGTTAACTGGACAAGAGGCATGCGGGTACTTACCAGTATGGGAGCCCTAACAAATAAGAGACTCAAAGAAGGGTCAAACTGCTGAAGTTTAGATAGAATTCTGAGTTCTGGAAAACAAGATGTGCAGGCATCTAATTGAAAAGGTTGATACCTTAGTTTTTTTCTCAAAATATTTCAAGGGCAGAGTCATTCAACATTGCAGAAGGCTGAAGAACACAAAGTGCCTTCATGATTACCATTCCTTGTCCTGGTACCTGCCGCAGGCAAAAGCACATGAAGCAAGCATTTCTTGCTGTCTCTTTTCCTCCTACTCAACACAAGGAATTCTCCCCACTTGGCCAAAAGAATTCTTGTGGCTGCTTTCCCCAGCATTTTCTTGTATGTTTTCCTTCCCTCCTACACCCTAGGTGTACAGCGTAGCTATCACATACATACTTTTGCAGTATCTTCATGTAAAAGTGCAAGCCTAGAAAACAGAGGTTTAAACTATCCAAAATACAGTGGAGGAGCCCAGTAGGAGTATCTGTCATTCTGTGCTTGACAGAAGATAAGTTTTTTTTTAAGCAAGGCAGATATTTTATTTTATGTATTTATTTTCACTTTATTTATAAGATGGACAGACAGAGATCTTCCATCTGCTGATCCCTCCCTAGCTGCTCACGATTTCCAGGGTAGGGTCAGGATGAAGGAAGGAACCTGGAATTCAGTTCTGGTCTTCCACCTGGGTGGCAGGGATCAAAGTACTCAGGCCACTCACCCACCCGCTGGCCCTGCTGGTGCACATTACAGCAGAGGAGCCAGGACTGGTACCTGGGATAGGGTAGAGGGTTGTAAGTGCTGACTTAACCATTGTGCCAAATGCCTATCTAGGATGGGTTCTTTTTAATTCTAGGCATTTTCAGGTTTCACATAAATGAAAGCTCTCTGCATTTTTACGTAAGAAGTCTCCATCTTCCAGAGTCGACCAATGGAAGACGACCAATGGCAGTTTTCATGTTTGTTTCATCAAGATGAAAATTATATATCGAGTCAAAGGTGGACAATTAAAAAAAAAGCTTTATTAGAGTGTCTAGTATGAGTAGGGACTAATGCTACATGTTTCATATTCACTCAGCTCTGCCCAGGGGCTCTCACCAATCTCAATGGAACTAAACATACCAACATAATCAATATCTGTCACAACTTATTTTCCATTTAGCACATAAACATTTACATTCCCACCATTTATTAGCATATCACATACATTAGACACACACATAAAATGCACCTGAAACTTATATATAACACAAATCCTGTCCACGCAGAGTCTATATCACACATATTCATACTACGCACACTAATAACCCAACACAGATTGTGCATATAAAGTTACACGAATTGGAATCATACAGTTTATTTTGGAAAGGAAAGGTCATTTTTCTGGAATGTATGTGAAGATGTCAACATCCAGAAAAATCCCGAGTTAGTCAATAAGCTGTGCCGCAGGAGATGACGTAAAAAACTATAGGAACAAATTAAGTAGATGACGATAAAAAAGCATTCTGGGCGGAAAAACAACCTAAACAAAGTTAAAGCCTCAAGAAACCTTGGGACATGTAACTTGAAGTTACTGGAAATTAGTGACATAGAAGGCCTCTGTGAGGTGAGGCGGGGGTTATCTCAGTAGGCAGGGCCCACCACTTGGGAAGTGTTGAATTTACTACCAAAATCAAGGGAGAAAGGAGGTCCTCTAGGTGTCTATAAGTGCTACCAGCTTCATGTCTTCTATGCTGTTGACGTAGCCATCCATGTTACAATGGAATTCAACATAGTTGAAGCTCCTGCTCTCTGTGTATCCAATTTTGAAACGCTGCCGATGACACGTGAGTACTTTGATGGGAGTTGGGGTCCACACGTATGTGTTTCTGTAGCGGTCATTCCAGTGATTACGAATACATAAATGTTCGAGTTGGTACCATGAGATATAAACAAACACATGAGAGTTCTGGTCTCTGGGAATTCGTTTTTTTAGCATGACGGCATCACACTTGTATGTGTCGAAATTCCAGTTTGAACTGAGGTAGTACTCGTTCATGAACTGTCTCTTGGAAATACCAGTATTGTGTGCAAGCACCTTGCACTGGAAGCACATCAGAGCAAAAAGAGTGACCCATACCTTGGTTGAGGACATGCCAGCCTCGGGGGTCACCTATGTTTTTACAGGGAAAAGAGAAGAGAGCATTATTGATGCACTGCCCTGGCTGCTGAACTCTGTTAGAATACTTTTCACTAGGGCTTACCTGTCCTCGTAGGCTGCCAGATTGCATGACAACACTCAATAGCTAATAAAGATCATAAAAACTAAAAATGCGTAACAGCTTGAAGGAGCCAAGCACAAACATGGATGAATAGATGAGATTTATTTTGTGAATTGTAAACCTCCCTAGCCTATTCTCCATCCAACCTGAAAAGTCAAAAACCCCTCTAAATAGCTTTCTTTTTATCAGCTGAACTCTCTGCAGACCATGTGTCCGTGAAACAAGGGACATTGAGTTTAACATCAAAATAGTGAGAAGGGTTGTCACGGGTAAGTGGAACATAGAAGGTGAAGGACTGCCTGGGGTCCGTGTCCGAGGCAGCAAGCTTTGCTTCTCTGAAGTCACCGCCCAGCCTGCACTTACACCCACCCTGCTTGTGGGGCTTCTCTGACCCTGGCTTCCTTCTATGCTCACCCAAAGCTGCTGTGAAACACACAAGCACTCCCGTCCACACACCTCCCTTCTCAGGGTCTTGGTTTGTCAGAGCTGCTGGTCAAGAACCCCGTCACTAGGGAACCCCAGATCATGACACTGCTCCAGCTGAGGACGTGTCAAGACTAGAACTGCTCTCACAGGCACCACTCTGGCCACAGCAGAGCTTTCAGTGGTCTGAGAAAGGTCCCCCTTCATTCCAGCCCTCTGTCCTCACTTACCCTGAGCAGTGCACCTGGCCCCGTGGAAACCTGGCCAAGAGTGTCCTGAAATGGGCCCCACTCCTCGTGAGAGCTCCGTCACGGACTTGTGAGCATCCACTGAGACACGTGTGTGCAAGAGCACTTCTGAGAGTGCTGAGTGCCTACGGAAGGCACAGCCCTGTGGAACACAGTCTCTCCTGCATCGGAAGCCTCCCCTGGCAAGGAAGTCCTAACGTGATGAGGATGCTGGGATTCGAGCTGCTGGAGTGCATTACGCTATGGGAAATGGATTAATGTTGGGCTGAAATTTTTGTCTGTTTCTCAGGAATTGTGTGAATTCCCTTTCTTAACTCTGTTATCTAGAATTCTGAAGAAGTTCTTTGCAATTTCTCCAGGCATTTCCCTCCCCCCCCCCCAAATCCTCAGCATTAGTCCTCTTGACTCACCTTGTTCAGATTCGGCATTCAGGTGACCAGATGTAATGGGGACGTGGCTCTGAAAGGCAGTCGGTGTCCTTCCCCTTTCCTTAACACCCAGGAGATTTGCAGCAGTGGAGCAAGGAATAGCATTGGAAGCAACAGTGCTTCAAACAGTTACTAGCGGTGTGGGAGGGAGAGTGGGGACAGTGTTACTGTGCAAACCTCTATCTTTTCATCTGGAACACTGGAGTTCACTCTGAAAATAGCCTCAAGCAAGGCTCCAAATATCAAAGGGTGACTCCTAGGCACCAAAGGAACACAAGTGTGGCTCCGGAGAGGAGTTCATAGGAGGCAGCTAAAGAAGTTCTCGAAAAACTTGTGGGAAAAGGTGCCTAAACGACACATCAGCTAAGAAGACTAGTCATGCAGGTGGAGAGGTAAACATATATTTGGTCGAAGAATCTCTTCCTGTGAGATACATGAATGCATTTTCTATTGATATTTTTAAGCACTGCTCTTTCCAGGAATTTTGTCTGGGCCATCTTGTCACAACACCGGGGTGCTCCATTTGTATCCAGAAGTCACCTTCAAACTCCAGTTCATTCAAGCATTACTTAAATAATGGGGACTCGTGTGCTGAGAGGTTGGATGGGGTGTCTCACAGTAAATCCCGCACGTCCTCTCACTCTGTGGTTCTTTGCATAATGAGGAGAGTATTAGAGAAGACATTTGCATTACTTGAGGGATGATCCTGAAGGAAATGTAAGATGCCTATCATGTGTCCATTTATCCAGAGCGCTTTCCAACAAGTTCATGTAAACAACCAAGAATCAAATTAAAGGACTGGCTCAAAAGAATACAGAGATAGAGGACAGAAGAACGTGTGAAGAAGCAAGCAAAGAAATTAATACTTTTCGTGGCATTATATTCTGTGGTATCTTACAGAATATCAGAGAGTAATTTTGAGAATTACAATAAGAAGTAATGTGAAAGCAATTTTTAAAACTAAGGATAAGTGCTGTGTAACAAGAGGTTAAACTTCCACCTAAGACACTGGCATCCCATTTCAGAGTGCAGGTTCAATTCCCAGTCACTCCACTTCTGATCCAGCTTCCTGCTAATGTGCCTAGGTCTCTGTCATTCACATGGAAGATATAAATGCAACTTCAGGCTTTTGATTTTGGCCTGGGCCAGCCTTGGCTATTATGATCCTTTGAGGAGTGAACCAGTAGATGCAAGATTCTCTCTTTCTCTCTCTCTCTCCTTCTCCCTCTACCAATCTCCCTTTCAAATAAATAAATCTTAAAACAAAACAAAACAAAACAAAAAAAACAGACAAGCCAGGGCCAGTGCAGTGACATGTCAAGCTAATCCTCCACCTGTGGCTCTGGCATCCCATATGGGTGTTAGTTCATGTCCTGGCTGCTCCATTTCTGATCCAACTTCTGCTAATGGCCTGAAAAGCAACAGAGCTCCTAGCTTCAGACCAGCCCAGCTTTGGTCATGGTGGCACCAAGGGAATGAACTAATGGATGAAATATCTTTCTCTGTGTTTCCCTTCCCCTGACCTCTATAATTCTTTCAAATAAAACAAATCACTTTTAAAAAATGAAAATGGGGCCTGGCATGATAACCTAGTGGCTAAATACTTGCCTTGCATGCACCGGGATCCATTTGGGTGCCGGTTCAGAACCTGGCTGTTGCATTCCCCATCCAACCGCCTGTTTGTGGCCTGGGGAAGCAGTCAAGGACAGCCCAAAGCCTTAGGACCCTGCACCCATGTGGGAGACCTGAAAGAGGCTCCTGGCTCCTGGTTTCGGATTGGCTCAGCTCTGACTGTTGCGGTCACCTGAGAAGTAAACCAGCAGACAGAAGATATTTATAGCTCCATCTCTCTGTATTTGCCTTTCCAATAAAAATAAGTAAATCTTGGTAAAAAGTGAAAATAAAAACAGTAGAGCATTATATTTATGCATTGTTGATAAAATTATTATTTACGTGGTTATTCTATACCTGATATTTCCAGAGTAAACTATTTTTCTCATTTAAGTGCTTTTCCACTTCTGATGTAGAAAAAAACTTGTTATGAACTCCAAGCCTATGTCTATAAATCCTACTATGAGCAAAACCAGAAGTCCTAATGCTTCTCACATGGACAGCAGCCTAAATTCAACAGCAGGGAGAATTCCTTCATATCTGCATGAATTAGCAACTACCAAAGCAGCCAGGAGGCTGAGTCCACCATTACTTTCTGAAACTGTTTAATAAGTATGTTTCGCAGATTCCTAGCATGTTTTATAGCTTAAGTTATGGCTTCTGACTTGAGATCTTGATGCCCTGTTCTTTGAATATAAATTGTAATTGACTTATCAATAATAGTCTTTAAATTTTTTCTTGATGTTTAACTCTTTTCTCTAACTGTCATTTTCCTTTGTTGGTCAATATTTAATTCTTTTTTAAGATTTATTTTATTTTTATTGCAAAGTTAGATATACAGAGAGGAGGAGAGACAGAGAGCAAGATCTTCCATCCGATGATTCACTCCCCAAGTGACTGCAGTGTCTGGTGCTGCACCGATCTGAAACCAGGAGCCAGGAGCTCTTCTGGGTCTCCCACACGGGTGCAGGGTCCCAAGGCTTCTGGGCTATCCTCAACTGCTTTCCCAGGCCACAAGCAGGGAGCTGGATGGAAAGTAGAACTGATGGGATTGGAACCAGTGCCCATATGGTATCCCAGTGAGTTCAAGACGAGGACTTTAGCTGCTAGGCCACGGCACCAGGCCCTGATCAATATTTAATTCTTTAACAGATCTAATACTTGATCTCTATGCCAATAGCAATGTTAGATTTTCTTTCACAGATGATACAATGTCTCTATGGAACTGCAAGAGCTCCATGGAAGGAATTCTTAGAGTTTATGAACTGGTGTCATGAAGAAGCTCATGTCTTTGCAACTGAAATTCAACAATTCCTTCATTTAGGAATTTAAAAAACATAAAGGAATCATGAATTTTTAATTTGGTTTATAGTTGTTGCAAATATCATTTTACATTGATCACTAACTACTTCAAAATTATGGTAGTCATTGGGTTTGTATTTAAATTTTACTATTTAATGCATTAATAAATATGCTACTATTTTAAAGACTAATCATTTGCTAGTTGGGTTCCTTGTAATACAGTGAATTTTTATATTTATCTCAGAATCATTATAATTATTCCTTTGTTCTCAACTGTATGTGTGGCTTTAACATGCTGTCATGAAGGAATGGCACTGTGATACAGTGGGTTAAGCTGGCACCTGTGACACCAGCTGCCCACGTGAATGCAGGTTGAGCTGCTAAGGTACCTGGGAACACAACGGAAGGTAGCCCAAGCACTTGGGCCCCTGCCATGCACTGGGAGACCCAGACTGAGTCCATTCCCTTGGTTCTGGTCTGAGCTAGCCTTGGCCTTTGTGGCCATTTGGGGAGTGAACCAGCAGGTGGAAGGTCTCGTTCGTGCTCACTCACTTTCACGCTCGCTTGCTTTCTCTCTCTCTCTCTCTCCCTCTCTGTAACTCTGCCTTTCAAATAAATAAGTAAATCTTTTGAAAAGTCAGAGGGATATATGCACAGAGTAAACCAATGTTGACTGTCTTGACAGTTTTGATGTTATATTGTATTGCTAGAATCATAGAGAACTAGGATAAAAATATCACAAAGAAAAAACAGAAATACACTAGCTGTTTTTAATGGAACTTTGGCCGGATTAATGAAGTTCCAGTAAAGCTATATTCAGCTAGAAATACACTCGCATTCTCACAATTTCCTGTCCTTCAAGTCTAATTCTAATGATTTCTCTTCCTGTCTTTCTCCCCCTCTGATAAATGTCTTTCTCAGAAAGCATCATTGATCAACCATTCAGTCAGGCTTGACTGTCTCTTTTTTATGGAAACACATTTCCTGGTTTCCTTCTCAAGTTCTTGCCCCATGCAAAATAAGAAATCAAAATGGAGACACAAGTATTGTGCATACATAATAGCAGGACCCATTTATAGTGAAAGCATAAACATAAACATATATTCACGCATTAGTGTGGGCGACCACAAGGAGGAAGGGTCCCCATGAGAGGGTCCTGAAGGCCTCACGGGGAGAGTACGTGGAGAGCCAGCATTTCTGTTACACATCATATTTATTCATAAGATTGTCAGTAATAAGTACAAAGCTTTGGGACTTGGTTCGACAGTTAAATTCCTAAATCCTCAATTTACAAGCGCTGGGATCCCATATGAATGCTGGTTCGTGTCCTAGTTGATCCACTTCCAATCCAGTTCCCTTATGGCCTGGGAAAGTAGTGGAGGATGGCTCAAAGCTTTGGGACCCTATGCCTGCCTAGGAGACCCGCAAGAAGTTCCTGACTTTGGATTGGCCCAGCTCTGGTCATTGCAGCTATTTGGGGAATGAAACTGCAGATAGAAGATCTTTGTGTCTCTCCTCTTTGTAAATCTGCCTTTGCAATAAAAATAAATAAATGGAAAAATGAAAGAATTTGGAATATCAGAAAAAATTGTTTCTAGGTAAACTAACAGAGCACTAGTACCAAGCGCAGATTGGGGTCCTTAACAGCAGACCCAATGATTGGGAATGTTTCCACTGTTGGTAAGGGGTTGGAAAATGTAAATAATGGCACTGTCCCTTCAGGAAAAAAGAGGAAGAAAATAAGATGAAAACATACAGGCATGGCCTGGTTAATTTGGAAGAACTCTACATCAAATTGTATCTGCTTTGCTTCCTAGAAACCTGCAGTTCTAAGTGCTGGTCTAATCAGAAGTTGGTACCCTCTTAAAATAGCATGTATATATCTCAGGACCAGCTCCTTGAGGCTTGTGGAAACTCAGTGCTTGCCAGCACCTGCTATAGCCCTTTCTAGTGCTGTCAGAGAGAGTCTTTCTATGAGGTCTGTTCCAAAAGACAAATCCGTCAGGGAGCAGATGATGGTGTTTAATCTGTTTATCTCTGAGGAGCACGCTGTGGAAAGATTGATCTACCACAGCATCAATTCTTATCCATAATTTTAGTTATATCTTTCCAGTAATAATATACACAATCTTTGCTAATTGAGGGTCTAACAGCAAGCAAAATGTATGCTGGATCCTGTGATTATTGCAAATGGTCAGAGTATCTGAAATCATTAGGGGTTAGGTCTTAAATTTCAAAGTAATTGAGGGGTTGGCACTGCAGCATAATGGGTAAAGCCACCACCTGCAGTGCCAGTATTCCACATGGATGTCAGTTCAAGAGCAAAAAATTCCACTTCAGATCCAGCCCCTGCTAATGTGCCTGGAAAAACAGCAATTAATGGTCCAAATGCTTGGGCCTCTGCGCTAATGCAGGAGACCTGGAAGAAGCTCCAGGTTGTCCTGGTTTTGGCCTGGCATAACCAAGGCCCTTGTAGATCTTTGGGGAGTAAATCAGGAGATGGACAATTTCTCTCTGTCTCTCTGTAATGTTGCCTTTTAAAAGAAGTATTGGAGATAAGGCCAAAAAAATGACAATTGCAATGTTTCCAAATGTGTTACTTGAGTTTTAAGAGTATTGCTTATGTATTCTCCTAGTCTGGATGTCTAGAAGTGATGAATATACTGAAGATGTGAGAACAGCCAGTTAGCACTCAATAACACATGCAGTGAAATGGAATCCTTTGTCACTGCTGGGTTCAAAGGTAGCTTCCCAGCTGGGCATGATTCTTTCAAATAGAACCCATGCCATTGCTGAATCTGTGGCTGCTCTACGGAAAAATGTGTCAAGCCAATGGAAGAATATACAGAAATGACTGAAAGGCATTTATACCCCTGTGAGTTAGGTAACTGAGCTACCTTTCAAACCTTGAATCTGTTAGATTTGTCGAAATTATGAGGAGTTGTAGGCTTTGACATTCCAGGACTGAATTTAAAGTAGTTAGGGCAGGGTGTTTAAGCACTTTAGGGCCACCTTTAACATTTTTCCACCAACCTGGATTGATGTTGGGTGGTCATTCTCCATCCCTAGGTACTGGTATTGGGGAGGCTAGGAAACTGGGTGTGGCTCTTATCTCCCCGTCTCTCCAGAGACAGAAGAAAGAAAAAGAAAATTTTGAAACAATGGTCTCACCCATTTTACCCTAACCTTAGATCCTTCCCACCCTGATCAACTATGTAAACATCATCAAAAACAAAAATTAAAAAGAAATTTTCCCACCAATGATGTTTCATAAATGCAATCAGATTTTCT